CTCTCTCTCTCTCTCTCTCTCTCTCTCTCTCTCTCTCTCTCTCTCTCTCTCTCTCACCACTTTGATATAAATATAAAAAATGCTAGATTTTATCGTACAACCTACGAGAAAAAAACATGTACAAAGTAATGTTTGAAACATAATGCCATCTATCTTTTATTTTTATTATTCTGCGTACAGTTTCGCAATAATTGAATTAATGATTTTATTCTAAACCTAGTACGAGTAAGCACTATTGAGGCCGGGCGGTATCGCGTAAGCGTTTAAGGAGCGGTTTTCGAGCTTCGAGTGTAATTCGGCGCGCGGGCGACGAGAAGCGATACAACTGCGCGGGGGGTGCGCGACGCGTACAACAACAGCTCGACGAAACTCGATTATCGTCCGGGGTGTAATTCTGCGGTTACGTTCATTACTCGCGCCATTGTCGCCGCCGGCTTGCACGCGGCAGTTTTGACGCGATCACTTAGTCATGGGGAATGGAACCACGGGCTCGTTCCATCCCAACGCTATCGGGCGCCACATGTATGATGTGCCATTCACGCGATTCTGCACCGATTCTACGGCGACAGTGAAATTTATGTCGTTTATTTGATTAGCTCTAAGTAACTTTGGATTAACAAATATTTGAAGCGAAGAATCGAAGGAGAGACAGAAATTTCTTTTTACTTTGCACGTGCATTTCATAAAATATATCACAGAATTTGCATAATTTCAGACTTGCAACAATTTAAATTTAAAATTTTTTTAATTTTTTTAATGATTAATTTTTAATTTATGAATTTTTGTTAGCAAAAAGGAAAAAGTGAGAGTATAACATATTAAATATTTAAACAAGCTTCTTGGCTTACAAGCTATTGTAATTTTCTTCACATTTTCTATTCGTAGAATATAACACGGGTTCCGGCTAACCTTTTCCCAAATATTTCCTTTGATCGTAAAGAATCTTACGTTGCACAAAAGTCGTGTGATGTTTTACGATATTACATTTATTATTGAAGCGTTGAATAAGTTAAAAACGCGTTTGTCGTACAAAGTTCCGAGCAGACTAATAGTGCCACCGTGTCATTGCTTTAATCTTCTAGAATAAAAATTGCCAGCAAATGTAATATTAACTCTATTCTACGTTGATTACGCACTTTTCGACACAAAATATACGGGAAAGTACAAAATAACCTCAACCAAAAAGTTTTGTAGTGATTTCAAAAATATTGAAACGTTCAAAGGGATATAAGCGTGATTTCGAAAATCTTGCATATATCGATACAGCGATACAAAATTCGCAATGCGTCGAAACTGGATTTATACCACTTTCGACATAAGCGGATCATATGTAGACGATGCTGGGAAACAAAATATGCAAAGCAGATCGAACGCCGCATAGTGGAAATGCTATCTGCTATGTGGCATTTTGCATTTTGAGGTACGAAAAATGCATCGATTGTGCGATCTAGCATTTCAGAATTTCGCGCGATAAATCTCGATCGTTGATGATTGATCGACAATTAACATTGAGGATGCTGACGATGACGGTTTTTGTCATCTTGTTTTAATTTACCACCTACATATTTCACGTACTCTTTTCTTCGCTCGCCTTTGACTTCCGCTGGTGATAACAGTTAATGAATCCAGCGATTTTCATTAGCTGTCGTCAGCACACTCCGTAGGGCCGGTAACGAATGCCCCTAAATGTTTTCCGTCTTTATTCCGCGCTTCCCGGCGGAAGCAAGCCGGGTTTCCCCATTGTAACCGGTATCTCGGCTAATTGCATTCATTGTTCTTACGGGATTTCGCAACAGAGTGCTGATTGATGGAGCCTCTTTATCTTTCGTTTATTTCGCGTCACCTTGTATTTCGCCATCTATCTGTTGTTCGTTCACGTTTTATATATCACAGTTCGGCTCGGTATTGTCGATTTATTTTTCCTCGCTTTTGTTTTTTTATATTTACATTTCCACGATCGTCCGTGACTGTCTTTTTGTCGCAGTCTTTTCCCTTACCATCTATATTGGACGCCTTGTATTTATTTCTTATCGTTCGCTCGCGATTATCGACGTCGCGGGTTTTACTCTCGTCACGTCTCCGATTTCTGTAGCTCCTTTTTTCCCAGAAGCGCTGCGCGCGTGTTACTACATTTTCGAGCTCGTTGTCGCGCGTTATCGATCGGCAGTGCGAATTACGGCGAATGGAGAGATTCGAAGACTCGGAGAGCGTAATTACGATGTTCACGGTGATAATCCGTTTTCGCCGCAATTATTAACAGTTAATTCCTAATTACGTTTCCCGATTTTACCGCCGCTGCCTTTCCAGCTTTATCTCCCTTGCATGCGGTGTTGACGTTCGAGGTTGAAATACTGAGTGACAAGAAAATGCTAATTAATCTATTTAACTTGATGGCAAATTTATACTCGGAATTTAGTAACTGCATGATTAGAACTGCATACAAATTCCAAATTTTTCCGTCTGCAGATCTTTTTTAATAGATCGCTATTTTTCTTTAAAAACCGCCATCTTTTACCACCTATTATGTTGTTTTTTTCTCGCATGATATCTTTCTCAGTGCAATGTTTTCAAAATAGTATAAATTATTTTCGTATTCTCGGCCGCATGCATAAAGAAAGGCGATCTGCCCGTAAGAAATCAATATTATCCGTTCGCCGTAATAGATTGTTCCGAAATGGAGGATAACTTCCACTGCGCCACTTCCATATTTTCTCCCGCTTTATTTTCCTCTTTCGCTTGGCTTTTTGCCATTATAATCATATTTCGCCATCTTCCTCGAGAAAACCCGCCGCATGTGTTCCTCCCTTGCATACTAGTCGCGCAGCCTCGATCGACATAGTGAATGGATTATGCGGAAAATGGATGGAAAAAGCATCGAGAAGAGTCGAACATCCTTAAGCGATCCTCCCGTTCGTAATGACGGCGGAAATCATGCGAAATCGAAAAACTAATCGAGTCGATTATCAGCGTTATAGCGCCGTTGCGCATTTCCGTTTGCTTCGAATCTTATTACTCGTCTTTTTCCAAAACATTCATTGCTACCAGATAATATGCCGAATACACTTTAATATATGTATATGAAGCTAATGTTATATTGTATTGTAAAAATTATTGAAAGTTTTGGCCGTACTTTCACACAACACACACACACAATATTTCTATAGTTTGTATTAGATAAAGCATATAATTCTAGCCATTAAAATGAAGAAAATAGCTTAGAAGGAATTGAGAAGTTTTGTTGCGTTTTAATTTGTTTGCGAGAATTCTTTTGTTCTTTTTAATTCCTTTATTTTTTGTCAGATGTTAAAAGCTTTACCTCGCAAAGAGCTTTGCATAAATGCTAAAAAACTGGCGTGTCATGAAAACACAGAATTCTAATTTATTGAGAATTCTAATTTCATTTTTAATAGAAAGATTTAATTGTAATTGATATTTTTACCTTTTAAAAGGCAAAAAATTGTTTGTAGAATTTATATAGGACTTTGAGAGTCTTAAAATATAACAAAACATAAAGACATTTTTGCAGAACAAGTTGATACTCAAGAAATGAACCTGGAATCTCAGCTTGCTCTGAACTATTTTTCTTGGTTGAATGATCAAAACTATCTGTTTTATGTATCAGAAACTAGAGACGTACTGAAAATAAAGCTAGCATTCTTAATAATCTATGAGTCTTGACGACATGATGTCAATATGCCAGCTCCACATACATCTTTAATATGTTTATAAATTTATCTTGTAATTATTATTAATAGCAGCATAAAATTATTTCAGCCAATAATAACAAATAGCGAAGATTCTAGATAACAGTATAGCTAATTGTTTTATTGTTAATCGTTAATTAATGTAAAGTGACAACTTTAAAAAAATATATTTAATATTTTTCTAGACCAATATCTTTTTCCAAAAATTAATTTTGCTTAATGGATTTTGATTTCAGAACTTTCCACTTTTTTCACCGTTATTCCGAAATTCCGTCGACAATGAATTTCGAAAATCAATCTCGTGGTCTCGATGCCCTGCTTTTTTCCGCTTCATCGCTTCATCGAAGGGAAGAGGTTTTCCATGTCGACGAAGAAGACTCCAATGATGAAGAATAAGCTGTAGAGCTGAAAAACAAGCAGCAGCCAGCAAAGCTCGCACAGCATGACGCATTCGTTTGGAACCGACGAGGACAGATTGTGGTGAAGAGGCAGTCAAGGTAAGTAATTAAATCTTTCAAACTAAGTGATTTGTGATAGTGAATATTAATTTAATATCCATCGAGAGAAATCTGAAGAAGAAATATGAGTCTCGATACAGTAAAAAAAAAGTAAAAATGAACGTAGTAGTTAATTAAAAATAAATACCTTTTCGAGAGAGAAAGCGGACTTTTGGGCTTAGAGCGGGTAGACTATTTTCTCATTTCCCACAATTAGCGATACATTTCGAGATAAATTGTCATTTAATTCCCACTGCGGGAATCGGACGCCGAGTTCGCGTTATTGCGTAGCGCACTTGAATTATAGTTGCTAATTAATTTATGAAGGTGGGACCTTCGGTGAACCGCTGGTCGTCGCCGATGAAATCGCAGGTCGCAGTTAGAGTCGCGAAATAACGTGTCAACATTTGCGGTGCCGAGTGTTTTACGACGACGTATTCGGCGTGACGGCGCGCGATCGTTTTGGTCCGGGAACAAGTAGGAAGAGGTAGGGGTTAGGTAGTAATAGATTTTGCGTCCTGCACACTCCGTCGGTCACTCTGATCTATTTTTAAATCGAATCGCGAGCGGAATGCGGTAGTTTATAATGGATTAATTCCGAGCTGCAATAGAGAGAGAGTTTGCTTTGTGGGACCGATACGCTTTCCCCCGTTGCTTCTCCCGTCCGAACCAGATTCAAACCAGTTATATTTGAAAATATAATTTTATATATATATAAATATAACTTTGTATATATATTATATGTATTACTTCATATACAACGCGATACAACGTAACGTATAGATTTAATTATCTTAGGAATTCTCGAGGTTCAATAGCGAGCTGTGTGTTCCAAAACTGATATTCCGTCGCAAGTGTAACTATTAATTACTAACAAACTTGTAAATAGATCAAATATCAAGAAAGCCATAGGATAAGAAATTTAGTAATCGAGTTTAAGCCGTTAACATATTGAGGGTTTCTTCACATAGAGTATAAGTGCGAAATCGCAACTTTACAGGAATGAGAAAAAACATTTAAAAATTCGAATTTTATACATAAGAAAGCAGTTTTCATATGTTTTCGATACGAAGACATTAGGAATACAGGCATATTTCTAGATTTGCAAAATATTAATTCCTTAAAAATTGGGGATACGCTTCTCTGTTATGAAACTCTCGATATTATTTCTCAATTTAAGTTTTAATTACACTTGTAATAGTAAAAGATAAATTTTGTTTACAATAACGATGTCTACGACAGCTTTTTGCAACGCGTTATCTCGGAACCAGATTTTATTTACTATAAAATATAGACAGCTTGTCGTTCATAATTCACAAAAGTGCGCGCGATCCATAAAAGATGAGGGGCTCGCGCACGCCGTAAGTCGTGCGAGCACACGCATATAAACGCGCATCACGCCGACGAAAAAGTCGCCCGGAAAGAAATTACGGGACGAGTCGCGCGCGCACGTTGTCTCGCGTATCCAATGAATATTTTAACGGCATCATGAATAAATTAACTTTGGAGCGTGCACAGAGCGTCCGGGCCCAAGCGGACGGTCGGCTCCGAAAATGCGGCTACAATTCTCGCCGAGAAAGCCGAATTTTGCTCACTTCCGCCGAAAATGTCAGGCCGCTAATCGACGCATACCGTTACACGCCGAAAATCGACGGACATTCTTTTTTTTCCCCTGTTTTGTGTTGTTTTTTCGTTTTGTTTCGCGACACGGCTGCTGCGCACGAGCGGTGACGCCGCGAAAATTTGCTGTGACAGCCGATCACGCGTACGCACGTATTGCGCGCGGATCGTTATGGCCATCCGTTACGGTTTATTCGTTCAGAAGTTATTTCGTGCCTGTCGCCCTGAAAAAGAGCCAATCTACCCGCGACAAATATGCGTCGCGCTCTCGATGATGGCGAACGCGTTGCGACCTGCCCCAACGTGTCGCGACAGTTGCCGGAACGCTGATAAATATCTATCTTCGTTATTTTGGCTGCGAATAAATACATTTGTGCTTCGAATTTTTCTATTCTGATTTGTTAATATCAATGATATTTTTGCGTTAATTCATACGGAGTTTAATTATTCCAAAGTACATTCTCTTCCAAGAAAGACGTAATCCGTTTATCCGAACAACGTGTCATCCAATTAGTCTGAATAATCGAGCTTCTTACACGTGCTTTATCCCTCAAACACCCTAATTTGAAAGAAGCTGGATTTAAGAGGCACGTGTCGCTACAAGACGCGACCCCTGCCTCGTGAGTATCTCGCGTTGGCTGACAAGAGGGGAAGCTAATAGAAACAGAATTAGAGACGGGGAGTGCCTTATCACGTAGGCGATAGTCAGAGACTCTCAGACCGTAAGGTAAGTGAAAGTAAAGCCCTCTCTCGGCGAGAGCGACGGCGAGGAAAAGCCATGGTCGAGAAAAGAGGGTGACTTTTCCTCGGCACGACGAAGCGATGGTGGTGGTGGCGGCGGCTTCTAATAACGGAAGGGCCCTACCGCCGCCACCACCGCCACCATCACATCCCGGAGACACCCACCGGCTTATTTACTTTTATCGTACAACGTCCGCGACGTTCCGTGGCGACTGCTTCCCGCCATTTACTCTCTCGTACTTATTTTCTCATTTTTGCCCGTCGACTCGACGTCCGCCCTAAGACGACTTCTTCTACTAGCGGCGCCGAGACAAAGAGAGAAGATGAAAGGAGAAAGTACGGGAGGATGGATTTAAGACTTCCATAAACAAAATTTAGTTCCGTGGATTGTATGAAAAAGGAGTGAGATTACAATATTATCTCGGGAGTATGGATTTTAATTGACGAAGGTTTAAAAATTAGAAATATTTAAACATTATAAAGCCATGAATAAACATGAAATTGAAATACAGAGGAACAAAAGAGCCAATGCCAGTTGTTTGTGCAAAAACACGTATTGAAATGAAATAAACAAACGTTTCAGTCTGTCATCAGACCTTCTTCGGTGTCAATAATACTGTTTAAACGCACACCGAAGAAGGCCTGATGACAGGCTGTAACGTTTGTTTATTTCATTTCAATGCGTGTTTTTGCACGATCAACTGGCATTGGAGCTCTTTTTGCTTCTCTATATTTCAATGAAAAATATTTATTTATCGCGATGTTATTATTCATACTGAAACTTTATAGTTTTCATTGTAAATTCTGTCTTTGAAATATTTTACGTTTAGGAAAAAAGTATACATCTTATATTAAGAGATAAAAAATTTTATAATTTTCAGAAATTTATTTTTTGCAAGTGGGTTTAGTTAAGTCTTACTTTTTCGCCTTACATTTGCTCTCTCTTTTATATAAAGCGTCTAAAGTACCGAATATTAGATTCAGTATAGTTTAGCGAGTACCGGTGATGCCCGAGGGAATTTCTGATACAATGCGGCGCGTCGCGTCGCACGAAGAATGACAGAAAAGCGCGGCGCAGGTTGAATTACTAAAATAGGATGCTATTGTTCCAACGGCATTTCTCTCCGCGATTCAGACGCCGGCCGTACAACATCGCAAGTTATAACATCCGCGTGCACGGGAAGGATTACATTTTGAGGAAAATTTGCAAGGGCGGCGTTTCCTCTACGACGAATTTCGCGGAACTGAAGCGGGTGCCGTTAAGAGTCACGTAGAATTTAGAACGCGCGATATTAAACCCGTTATTTGATCTATTTTTAACCGACATGTGTTAGACATTCTACTTTATTTATTATCAATCCACTCCTCTATTTATTATCAATAACAACAAACTTATAGGAACGAAGAAAAAGGTTGCAAATTATGAGCTGTTAAACTATGAGCGAAATTATCACAAAGAAGTGTGCCGGAAGGATAAAAAACTAGCTTTGCCGTAGCGACGAGGTATAAGTTTTCACGATCACGAATGCATAATGCCGATATTCAAATCAGTCGACGTCGGTAATAGCAGAAAATTGGCCGGACCGATATTAGGCGCCAGTGTATATATGTCTGCCTGATTGACTAGCCTTCGTAAAAGCGAACAAAGCCAATCACGAAAGAAGTTAATCAGAGTTTCCGACTATAATACCACGAGTATTTTTTTATCGCCGGTTATAAAAACCGATAATAATCTTCACTAATGACACCGGCGAACTAATAACAAACCTGATTCCGCAAGATATTAAGCTAACGGCTCGGCGACAATAGAACTCAATCGCTCGTCATTATCCGCTGTTCGACATCGAGCTCTTGTCGTCGCCACATACGGAAACATACGCCGAGCGTGTTAACAATTCGCGATCGCATCCTGCGGAACATCCCGTGAACCTCGCTTAATTCCGATGAGTCGGGATTTGCCATTGCCATGTGCGCGATGTTTCTGAATAATCGCGAGAGAAAATTATTTAAAATTAAATTTTATTTCCCTTCATCGTCTTACTAATCAGTAATAATTAATATTGTATTGAACGGATTGATACAAAATCGATGTAATCGTTTACTAAATTCAAAATACATATTACTCGTGACGCATAAAGTTAACATGAAGCGCAAAAATGATATTCATTGCACCTTCAGAATCGGAGACAGTGATGAAAATGTATGCTACATGATAAAATATGCTTAATTAGCATAGAATTAATTTAATCAAATATATCGCCGAGAGACGCATGTAATGAGGGAACGTTTGTGATACGAATTTATCGATAATGCTCATTTCCATATGATAGAATTTTTCTTTCATTTTAACGTGGTTCTCACCGTGTCCGAAAGAGAGCAAATAATTTACGGGAGATCTCATCGTTCATATTCATTTTTTGCGCCAACGGAGCTAAAGGGTTCTTGAGTTAATCCATATCAATTTCGCTTTATTCTATCTAGCGGAATTCTTTTTTTTCGTAAACAACGGAGGGGGGGGGAGGCGACGGGCGGGCGATAGCGAAGAATTATATCGGGACTCACCTGTGCGCCTCCGGTCGACAACAATGCGCCGGCACACTAAATCGCTTTTATTTCCTTCGCGGGCAATAGTGCTTCAT